AGGAAGCAAAAAACAATGAAATTCAGGCGGCGGCACGTCAAATGGAAACGTTTGTTTCGTTCTTTCAAAGCAGTTTTATCCAAACGAGAAATGGAAGATATGGTTTTCTTGAAAGGTCGTCGGTTGTTTTGAAGACTGCCGCCGAATTAGGCAAGTTACGCCCGACTTGGTCATTTTTTCCTGATCATCGCCCGCCTCACAAGCGCGCCTCCTCAGTGGGCGGAGCTTCCATCAGGTAATCAACCGCATCGAGAGTCTTATTACTTTAACCACACCGCGTCCTTCATGGGTGAATCGAGCAGTGTTAAGGCTAATTAGATTAACCCCAACCAGTCTCTCCCTCGTCTTCTCAGTGCTATTTGTCTAGACGCTGTGTGCGGCTGCCGGTGGGTGGTGTTCTGCCCCAAGGCAGAGCGGGACGAGTGAGGTACGTTAGCGACCGGTGAACGTTAATCAACGAATAATAATTATCATAATTATGCTCTGGCTGCATTGCCTATCCATTACGCCAGGGTTTAGCCCATTCGTGACTGGTGTCCTGGTAGTCGCCAAACTGTGGCGCAGTTAACCGTCGGGGAGGCGTGGCCCTTATAACTGGCTCCCAAAACGAGTACTCAGCAGACCCGGCCACGATTTTCGACAATCTGGCCAATCCCCAGCAATGCTGGATGGCATTTTTTTGGTAGTGGGTAGTAGACTCAGTTGGCTGACATTTCGCACCATGAATAAACACATCCTACTACTTTTTCGAAACACAAGACACGGCAGTTCGATCGTCGATCTGGACGATGTTCACCACGAGCCTCAGCAAGCTGAAACAACGCGGTGACTTCCGCGAGATATACAGCGAAAGTAGACTCATGGAGAATCTACCCCAGTTTCCCACCACCTGGTTGTCAAGACAAAGCCAAGAAAGCCGGAGATGGGGGAGGTGCAGGCGGCTGCCGCGACCAACACTCAACATGCGTACCAACAGCACGTCTCGCTAGGTATGCTCCAGACTGGGAGCGCCATAAAGGCCACATTAAGAAGGAGCCATTGAGCCTGGCCCATAGCCCGTAGACAGCCACTCCACACAACGAAACACACACTGTGTCGACTGCGGTGTCCAAGTTACCCCGTCAATTAACAACCCTCCAAACCACGGCTTTTAGCGCACCGCGATAATTTCAAGCGCATCAGATTGGTTATAGTGAGGGAGGAAATGCGCTGATGGTCGACCTCACTCTTTCCCCCACCACCAGCAACAGGCCACCGGCTAGCTGATCGGTCGCCTGAGGTGGGATGAGCGCAGTGCTGAAAAGGAAAACAAGTCGGAGACGAGCATTGTAGGACGGGTTGTGCAAGGGAAGAGGAAATGACACAAGCACACAAACGCATTTACACCTCATTAACTGAACGGAAGCTCTTCAATAGAAACAAATTTTCTGCGAGTAGCTCGCTCGTTACCTGACATGTTCTTGTCGATGAGACTGCTCTTCAACCGAGTTTCTATTAACTACTCTTGAATTTAATTTCCCTTCCTTGCCCCTAGCAATGTTCTACTTCAGTATGAATTTCTCTTTTACACGCACACAGACGCTTACTCGACTGCGACTGTTGGCTCATGTGTTCGTGGGTCTTCTGATCGGACTGCTCTACTTCAACATAGGCAATCAGGGCACTCTGGTTATCAACAATGCGGCATTTATCTTCTTCTCCGTCCTCTTTATCATGTTCTCTTCCCTGATGCCCACCGTCATGACCTGTGAGTACTCCTCTTTTTTCATTCGGTTACAGTTTTCCGCATCTGTCTGCAATTTTTTCTCTTAAAAGCAGCTGTTGCAGTAGGCCTAAATACTGGTTAGGCACCTACGGAGCACACGGCGCGGCCTTGGAGCGAAATACCACGTCACCTGACTTGATTTGCACTCTAAGCCCGTCAGCCTTGTCAATGGCTCTTTCTGTCAAAGGAGGGATAGATTGAATCCGATTTTGCGTGACCTATCTTTGTTATTATAGGTATATTAAGCGCGTGTAAAGTGCATTGGGGTTTTAAACTTCTCGGGTGGCGGGGGTGAGCCCGATATCTAGTGGCATACTTCTGTCCTCCCGGGATTGAGAACAAACTTTAACTGTGTTACCCTTATGTGGTTTTATCACCGATCTCATTCATGAGCTATCCTGATAAAACCACATAAGGGTAACACATTCATGAGCTATCCTGGGAACCACAGCAGACGCGTCTTCGACCGCGTTCCCAACCGCCCTCAA